GTTTGGTTGGATGCACGGAAACTAAAAAAAATTATAAACAAAATATAATTTAATAATTAATTAAAAATATGTATAAAATATGTATAAAGAATTCAAAATATCGATAACATTAAAAATATGTATAAAAATTGAATAGGGATTATTAATAATTTAGTCGAATGAACACAACCTTGATCATAATTCATAAACGACGTGAAAAAAACGCAAATGTAACACCCTCCTTAGTTTTAAGAGAAGTTTTAAGAATGCCACTTTTCTAAAATATTTTTATAAATGCTATTAAAATTATATCATTTATTCAAAATAACATTTATGTAACACCCACTTAAAACAAATTTAAAAAAAAAAACAAATAGCAAGGAAAAATCATATTTACGGTTGTGTTATATTACTCATATTCAATGAATTTTTTCTTCGGTTTCAAGTTGAGATTTGCCACTATATTATCATTCATATATCCAAATCCGCAAAAATACAGGTGTGGATTGTTGAAAAACAAAATATATTCGGATATAAATGGTAGCCACTAATCCGTTGCATAGACTACATTACACATTCAACATTTACTTTTTTTTTTGTTACAAAACTTGCAGTGAATAAAACTTGATCAAAAGAAAAACTTACAATGAAACAAACTTGACCATTTCGAACAATCACATTATTCATTCATCACTGTTACATAACTATCACAAATCATTTCAATTGATCAGCCATTGGATCAAGACTCAATGTGCTTATTAAGTTAACGATTCGCAACGAGATAATCCAAGAAAGAATCAACATAACGATCTTGCCTATCCATGTCTCCAAACAATCTTTTCATCTCCTTCACATTCTCTCTATAAACCTTCCCTTCTTCTTCCTCCATGACCAATCTCAGCGATGTAGCAACACTTTCTTTAGTAAACAAACCTTCTGTCTCCTCCCGAGGTATCATATACCCAATTTTCTTCTCTTCTATTACTCTCGCATTCAATCCTTGGTCACACACGAAAACCAGCATCACCATCGGTTTAGCAAACCGGACAGCTTCGATTATCGTTCCCCAACCGGGATGAGTCAGAACCAAACCGATTGAATCATGGCTCAATGTTCTCAACTGCTCAACCCACCCTCTCCAAACCATCCCTCTATCCGCGGTACGCTCTTCAAACCCTTCCGGTAGCTCGACCGGTTCGGTATCCCACGGACCACGTCGGGTCTTTAACACCCAGAAGAAAGGTAAACCGGAAAGCTCCAAACCGAGAGCGATCGCGTTGACCTCGGTTTGACTCGGTTTAGCTTCGGAACCGAAAGCTACGTGGACCACAGATTTGGATTTGCGTGAGTCCAGCCACGCCTTTATCGACAGCCACGTGTCGGTATCCTCATACTTTTCTTCCGGTTTAGGAGGTAAAACTCCAACCGGTATAACCGGTTTCCGATGAAGATCTTGTATAAGACCCAACCACTCTGCCTCGTACTCGTAGCAGCTCCGAACGGCGATGACGTCACATCCGTCGATTACGCCGGCGACTCGGTGAACGTCGGGGACATTACCTTCGGTGGTCTCCGCCATGAATCCTTTGAAGATATCCCGGCACTCGAATAACCGGAAAGCCACCGGAGTTTCGAAATTGACCCACCTAGGCGGCGTCAGAAAATCCGCCTGACAAGTCCGGTACTCTTCGAATCCCGGCGGTTTCAGAAGCCCTAAAGTCGCGCCGTTAAAAGCGCTGAGAAATCCGGTTTTGATTCCGAGGCGGCGAGAGATCGGAGGGAGCCAATAAGGCGCGAAATCCTGGAGAACCCAATCGGGTTTGGAAGATTCGAGAAACTCCGTCACCGGAATCCGCAGTTCGTCGTATGCGATTTTGAGATACGGAATGAGATCAAAGGGTAAGTCGGTGGTGGCTTCGCCGCTTTCCGGGAGTTTGCCGTCGACGCCGGAAAGAGGGAGCTTGACGAAAGTGATGGCGGAGGAGAGGGTCTCCGGCAACCGTGGGAGGAGGCGATCGATGTTACGAGGTGTGGAGATGAAAGAGACGGTATGACCCTTTTGAGCCATGAGCTTAGAAAGCTCCAAGTATGGAACCATATGACCAAAGGCTAGAAACGGGAACATTGCCACGTGGAGCTTGTTGGCTCCATCTCCATCGTTGTCTCTAACGTTAGACATTGTGTGATATCGACTTGAGGATGATTGAATTTATTGTAAGTAGACAGAGACTATGCAATCTCAGAGTTATGATCGATTAAATATATAGGGGTGGTCCTGGTGGAGTATACCTGAACCGTGATCCGGTTTATTTCACAACTAGATCCGCGTATTGG